AAAAAAAAAGAGAAAATCACTTATCGACTTTAGCTGGAAAAGTTTGTAGAAATGGTAAATAATGAAATATGAAACTCGCCCACTGATAGTAATTGCACTGATCGCTGGGCTCTATGTTGTGTTGTCGACATTCAGGAGGCAAGACATAGTGGCAAGGATCCATCGACGATTGTTGCACTTGAAAGCAAGTTGAGATGTTTCCGTTCTGTCTAAATAGCCAATACCTCATCGCTTGGGCCTAAAGTTACCAGCAACATGTATCTTAGAGTTCCATGAAAGGGTCGAGCTGCTGCTACAACCCCTTTATTTCGATCTAAAAAGAACCTCTCCCCTCTCTCTCCAAGATTAGTTGATGACAAAACGTGCAATGTGAAAAAAGAATGGAGGAAGTTGGGAAGAATGGTGAAAGTGAGGAAGAGAATTACATTCACTGGTATGATAATGGTAATGATACGATCCTTCCCCACCTCCCCTACTCTTCTCAGGTAAAGAAGTCTTACCTCCCTGCTCTTCTCAGGTAAAGAAGTCTTGCCACTTACCCAAAACTGACATCCTGTTGTTGAAATAGCATCATGTTGTTGGCCGTTTTGTGATGGACTGCTTTAGGCCCGTCGATCGTTAGGCCTTTTTGTGATAACGCGCACAACCGTGAGGGATTAGAGAAAAAGACGCTTAAATATCAACTTATAATTCGGAGAGAAACGAGAGATAGGCCTGTCTGACAAGCTTTTTGCGACATTTCTTATCAACGGTTTCGGCAGAATTATTGCAAAAGGTCAATTTGTTTTGTTATCGGAAAAAACTTCATTGGTTCTGCTAGCTGTTTAGCTTTACAGGACAATACCACTTCGCAAAATCTTTATTTAAATTGAAGTTTTGCTTTTTTGAAACTGATAGTTACAACAGCAGCAACACAATGATCTATGTTGTTCCGGAAGAAGAAGATCTGAGGTTGTTTTTGGCTTCCCGAACCAGTAAAGTTATAGCAATGACAAAGATGATCTCTCCCACGAGGAACCCAGCTCCTGCGAAAATCAGGTGGAAGTGTTGGAACCTAAAAAGAACTACGTTGCAACATTAGGGGGTCAACTCCGAATGCGATCGAGACCTCGATTCTACTGGGACTAAAATTTTCCTGAGGCTCCGCTCCACTTCAGCTCTATTCTTTACTGGGCTGTCTTTCTTAACCCATACAGTTATGTCGTTAGCGTAGAAACATTCTCTAAGATTAGGTTAAACAGACATATTAGCCTTCTAAAAGATTACATACCCGCGATTGATCTCCTGGGCTGTTCTCATCACGATAAAATTGCTGGAAAAGGTTATTTCTTTTTACCAAATGTATCACATACCCTACCTTGAATTGTTTAGAAGCTTCTTGCATACAAATCTAATGTTTTTTGTATGTGTAGTCCTGTTTCTATCAGTATAAATATCTGGGAGTGAGGGGTAACATTCCAATTTTAGCTTTGGAATTGGTTCCTTTCTAATGAAAAATTTATTTGGTCTGTAACGTTTCAGATTTGAGGGACCATGACGCTTACGTGTTAGGATACTCCATGATCAGCGCACCCATACCTGCTGCATCTCTAGCCAGTAGAACTTTCATATGACCAGTAGGGTCATCAAAATCCTGTTGTTTTATGAAAATCGGTTAAAGAAAATTGGATAATGTGGTGCGAATGTTTGAATTGTCTTTTTAAAATCGAAGGACGAATAACCAAAAGAAAATATTAGCGAACATATTCTAAAATCTGGAACTCTTCGTTATCGTAGAATCCATTGTCATCTTTGGCATTGAAATATGTAAAGAAGTAGTTGTCCATGCGTTTTCCGAGGCGTGCCTCCGCTATATCGCGACATTCTAAATAGGGTAAAAACGCCTTCCTTTAAAGGGCTAATTTTTCCACATTAGATCTGTTGGACTGGAAAAACATTTATAGAATGACAAGCGAACAAACCAACTTGCTCTGTCTTCCACATCCACAGCAGCTAAGACAGCTACAAATGAAACTACTAAGACGGCCCAGCCGAACATGTCATGAAGATGTAGAGCCAAGAAATGAAACCTACTCACATTTTTAAGGTA